AATTTTTGCACAGCTCACGAAAAATCTTTATGTACTGAGCATGGACTCCTTGACTGTCAAGGGCTTCCATGACTGCTTCTATCCCATTTGAGTCAAAGGACTTCTTTAAACCGATGAAAGTGAGACAGCGCGGTGTTTTGTACTCTCGCAATACTTCAATGAGTCAAGACTCATTATCGTGTGGATGTGGTCCATCGTACTACCTCCTTTTTCAACCCTGCTTGTTCACATGGCTGTCCTTCGTTCAGTATTCTGTCAATCCTGTTTAGAGTAATTCAAGTGAGAAGTTTGTAGACGGTAGACAGCGAGCAGATTGGGCGATTGGTGTTGTGGTCTTATCCTATCCGGACCTGGTGCTGTTCGATTTTTCACCTGCGAAATGGCATGTCGGATTTCGGAAGGGAGAACCGGTGGTACAACATATCCACCCTACTTTATTTCATATGACGGGAGATGGACGTGGCTATCGAAAAGTAGTATTTGTGATTGACTTTCTCCACTGCCTTTCTGGACGCTGTAACTGTTCCGTTTGGGCGCCTGAGAGCAATCATCTTGGTCTTGTAATTGGTGAAGCTTCGGTGAACTTTACGAATGCTTTTCTCAGCCTCTAAAGCTTCGACCACTGCTGTTGCTCTTCTCTCTTTAAGATCTTCTTTTATCGCCTGTCTGCATTGTTTTACACGTTCGGGCGTTAGTTCGCGGTTGCCTGCTGCCCGTGCGATTCCACGCTGGCGTATCAGCTCAAGTGTTTCTGGAGACAGATATCTTTTGGTGACTTTCGAACTCTCAGCTTTCATAGACGCTAACGTGAAGATGCTGAATGAGTCGATAGTATTCTTCGTCGATGTTATCGACAACGGCACCTTGGCAACAGCCGACTAATGAACTGAATAAGTTCCAGTTTACGGTGGTTCTGCAACATCGGTTTTGGAATTTAGCGGCTTTTTCTCCTTTCCACGAGAAATAGAATCTTGCACGAAAGAGTCGACGGTCTGATCCCGCGTAGAATTTTGGGACAACAGCGACATGGATTAGGCAAAACCTTCTATTTACTATGATGTGGTCCATTTCTTTGTGGTACTCTCCATTTGGAGACTCCCACGTCCAGCGTTGAGGGTGGAGCTTCTGGAATTGCGAGTTACCATGGATGGTCTTGGTCGTCTTTATGAACTCAGAAAGCCGTTCACCCTGTTCCTCCCATTCTAATCCGTGGGTCCAAATGTAACGTTCTTCAGACATTCTTTTTGGTCCAATCTTGGCGTTAAAATCTCCAATGATGACCTTGAAGAATGTATGGTCTGCCCTGTAGAACTTCTCCAAGTCCATGTAGAACGCTTCGATTTCTTCCTCGTCATAGCTTCATGTCAATGCGTAGACGACGAATATTGTGAATGCAGGAATTGATCCACATCTCCTCAATCGTAGACACCCGATGCCGGTTGTTAGTTATTCGAATCAAACGATGTTCATGGACAAATTGTTGTTGACCAGAACACCGACGCCGCCGACTCCTCTACTGTCGCATGTTCCGAGTAAAAGTTCTTATCCTGTGTCATAGACGGCGTTCAAAGGATGGCGTCGTATCATCTCTTCCAGCCGATGACGTCGTAACCTTATCCTTCTTGTCTGCTTGATCAAGTCTTCTATAGAGGACTCGGATGTAAGTGTGCGTGCATTGTAGGTACATATAGTCATCCTACTCCTTTGCGATTTTGAAGCTTAGAATGGCCCTGAGATTTGAGCATACATTCTATACTCGTCGTACTCAATGCTGACGTAATGGTTGCTCTTTAGCTATCAGAGACCACTTATTTTACTTTGTTTAGCCTTTGACGCAGTGTTGATCCTCAGTATTGTGCTGTTTCCTCAAGGCTGTCTCCAATCCACGTGAAAACGCCACAGCTCAGCTGTCTCCAAGACTCAAGCAAAATCGATGCTTTCAGCATTTTACGGCATCCAAAAACAAGAGGAAATTTTAAAGAAGCGGCTTAAACAGCAAATAGAATGTTCGGATGGCATTGAATGGGAAGGAATGAATCGCTTGCAAGAAATACTGTGACGAGCAGAGCAGAAGTGATGATGGGTCATGTAAAACAAAGTAGAAAGACAAGAACTGAGAAATACTAACCAAAATGATCAACTATGTAATATTCTAATCGCAAATGAGAATAAAACAGTGAATACTGGTCGTCTTTAACGCGACGGCGTGACCTCTACAGAAGTTATACGACGCGAGTATGATAGCCGTCACCAACTTAGAATCAACGCGGCTTCACCGTTGTGAATTTTACTAGTTGCTATAATAAGTATTGAAATCTATAGATCTATATTATGCAAGTTATCTAACTGCAAAAAGAGCAGTGTCGAACACGGAAGCAATTGAAAAAACGGGATTTCCTCTAGCGGAACTCGATTTAATTCCTCAATGTATCGCTCTCGTTTGCAGCTGCTCCTCTTGCGGTGGAACCCTTGAAACTTCACCCTCTGCCATCAATTTTTTAAAGCTTTCACTTCCAAGAATGCTTAACTTTGATAGGGCTACGAAGAAAGTACACATATAATGCAATCGAAAAAAATCTTTCCTATAAATCTGTGAACCAAAGTGCTTCCTTGATATAGAATTTATTTCTGGTTGTAGAAAAGCCAGCTTCGTCGCAAAAGAGTTTACATATACATGGACCTCCGAGATTATCACATTTTCAAAAAAAAAATAACGATGGTAGATTTGGTATAACTGCTAGCGCAGTCCACTTAGCTCAGTGATGTATAGAAGTGGAGTTAAAGTGATTTCAGATGAATCCACTTAACTATTCTCACTTCTTGAAATTTCGTCGCGTCCCAATTAACTATTTCAGGTTTGATAAACTGTGATGCTGATGTTGCTATTCAGTCGACTAAGCATAGAAGACTATTCGAAGAGACTGAAAGATTATGGGAGGTGATCACCAGCAATGCTTCGTTTTGTCGGTCCCTATTTGCCTTTCTTACACGGATGCTATGCAGTTTACTCAGTGTCATCTCACAATGACAGAGTGTTGTCCACTTGAACTCATCATCGAATAATATGTATGTACAATGGCCCCACCTTAGTATCCATCGCCTATTTATATCATCGCCGTAATTTTTTAGAGTGTCGCTTAATCTACTCATAAATTTAATTTATTAATACGTGCCAAAAGCACTATGCATTGCTCAAACCCGTGAGATAATCCATTTATGCAAAGATAAACAGTAATTATGATCCAACTATGATAATAATCCAGTTATTAAGAGATAATCGAAACAGAACAAAGTGAATAGAATGGTATTCTCAAGTGTGTAACAGAATTATGTGCCCGTGTCGAGCAGTGGTCGGAAGGGCCCTGCGACACACACACATGGGATCGATCCTCGCGCCAGTGGCTAACCAAGCCTTCCATCCCTCTGGGATCGACAAATTGGTACCAAACTTGTCTGGGAGAATAGCAGCACTGGCTCGATACATCGGTAGGCCACCGCGAGTCATTGTAAAGGCCAGATATGCGTTCGATCACCTCCAAACGTTGCTTAATGAAGTCGAATGCAGGGCGCATCCCTCAGGGATTGGTCAACGCCGTGAGCTTTATCCTTTTTTGTAATAGTGTCGTAAAAACAAAGAGATAATAAAGAAAAACCCATTCTCAAACAGTAAGGATTAGAGTTATGAAAAGCAATATCACAATTAACAAATAAGGAGCCTGTAAAATTTTGTGACAAGTGGCATGACGTCACCTCGGCGTATCAGAATCAGCAGGGTTTAGACCTTAATGGGTCGGAACACGCTAGCAATACCTCAAAATCCACCGAAAATCGCAGTACTGTAAAATTAATTTTCGACATTTCTAGAGACTACCAAAGTAGTTCTAGGATCCATTAAGGTCCAAATTATTCAGAATATAATAAATCGGATCTCCGCCTATCAGAAACCGCTGCGATTAGTCTGGTAGTAGTGAGAGCCGGCTGGAAATAACGTCGCAACGGCGAAAATCGCGTTTCTTGGGGTTTTCCGCGGATAACTCGTCCGCGGAGGCGGTAGCTTATCTAGCGGGTCAGGAGTGACTAACTAGCTGACAGCCAGTTGTAAATAACGTCGGAGTTGCAGAGATCGCGTTTTTCGGGTTTTGGGCGGATAACTCGTCCACAGTTACCGTATCCGGCGTGGGTGTTTGCAGGCTCGTGTGACTACCTGATAGCCGGCTGTAAATAAAGAAAATCGCGTTCGCAGGCGTCGTATAGCGTTCGGACAGACAACTCGTCCACATCGAGTGGGCGGTCGTTTTTCGCGGTTAAAACGCGTTTTCGCGCCATTTCCTCACGATAAGAATGAAGAAGAAAAATTACCATGGAGGAAAATCATCTTTGCAAATGAGCAATTCGCTCTTAATTTATTTACTCAAAGAACTAGGAGGAGGGCACAACTTTTCATGGCTGCCGCATCTAATCGATGCTTAGTTTTTCGTAGTATTCTCTGCGAAGTGAAATCAACTCACACCGACCGGGCTGCTTGACAACAAATTGCCCTACATTTTCACTCCATAACTGAATAGCCGAATACAGTCGATCATTCAACTGCAGTATAGCACAGCAGACTATTTTGCACAATTTTTCCTTCACTAATGTTTCGAATTTTTAACTGTCGAAGGAGCGTCCTCGCTACTTTGCATTGTGTTCCTAGTTTATTAATATATTGTAATTGCCTAAGAAACAACAGCGAAAACATGAGAAGGTGCTTTAGTTGTGAAGACAATTGGGCCCACCTACTTATACTTCCACCCTCGGCAACGTAGACTCAAGTCGAACATACAGCCACGATTTCCGCCAATGTCATTGAAATCGATTCGAGACGAGTGGAATGGAACTCCATGAATGACGTAATATCATCCTGCAATGTCGTTTTATTCAGCATTGTAGTGAAATTTTGTATGAAGTGCTGTTTTGCTGCTACTCTATGACAGCTACATTTATGTGAATGTTTTCTTTAGAGTGCAAAACCGTGGTATGATTTGCTCGAAGTAAAATTCAGCATTTCTGAGAACATGAGGGTGTGTGTGAGCGTTTGTGTGCGTATGCGTGGGTGTGTCTGTGCGTGTGGGTGTGTGGGAGGTTGGATGTGTGTGTATGTGTTAAGAGAAAAAAGTTCTTTTCAGGAGTTTTAGACAACCATCTAGTCATTGGCTTTGGAATATATTTACTTGTCACTTAGTGGTTGAACTGTCCCTCTTAAACGGTAGTGCGTGCTTCAGCACAGTTTTTATTTGTTTGCCCCGCCCGCAATCCTTGTCCATACACTCCCACAAACACCCACACACATCCGCACACCCATGCACACCAGCGCACACGCCCATACCCATGCCCACAGACACCAGTACACATACCCACAGACACCTACACACCCACACCCACAGGCACAGCCACATATAAAGGAAAAGATATATGGTAGAGGGAAAGCAGGACGATCCACATTCAGGTCACTCAAAGAAGCCACAGACCATTTAAATACCCGAGGATCTGCGCTCACCTTTTCGACTCCACAGTCCTTCCAGTGCTCTGTTGTGCACCAGAAAAGTGGTTGTTCTTGAACAACGTCAAAAAATCTGCGCACCACGCATAAAAAACTTGAACGATCTCTTCAAAAATCTAACAACCAATCACAACGTCTAACCGGAATGCTCAGCTCATTTCTTCGAAGCCGATACCATAATAGGAATCTAGGAAGATGTATGTATATACATTAATAGCAATGCACACACGGGTCGTTGACATGATAAGATGAAGAGCTGTCATATGTTCGAAAAGAACAGTGGAGTGGACTCCGAGAGAACGAAAGTATCCCTTTGGAAGATCACCTAATCGATTGATGGAGGTGTTCGTAGCTAACGCCAACCATCTCCATTTGCAGATAGAAACCTTTTTAGAAATCAGAACGGCTCAAGGAGGCCCTAAATTGCTCGAAGAAGAGCGTCACTAAAAAGGAAGATTGCGCGATAGTGAAACAGATGGATGTTTGGGAACGCTCCACCAGGGAGGTGTTCCACCTGGGTAACCATGTAACCATGTTTACCGTGATAGCAACAACCACTCGTGAACTGGAATAATCTGTGCTGCCGTAGATTTGATGCCAACTTAAGGATCCGAGGTTTGCTTATATCTCAGTGTCCTTGCAGTTTTATTTCACATAACATGTTGTCATAGAAAAGCGTACCTTGAATTGCTCGGAGAAGAGCAGCAGCAACGAAGGGACAATGGATGAGAGATACTACATTGTGGGTTATGCTGCAATTTCAGCTTAACCAGGTCCAGTGCCGATTTTTGGTCTTTAGATCATTTTTGTTGAATGACGGTTGCAGATACAGATAGGATCGTTGAACTAGAAAATTGTGTCAGATAAAGACAAAGAAAGAGCATCTTTTGGTGCAACGTGAGAGTCACCAAAAAGGGTGAGCGCGAGTTGGAAGCGCACCTACGGTTGCGAGTTTTGCTCATACCCCAGAAGCATCTTTGTAGCTGAACAAAGCATATTTGGTGTTTTTCCAAAGATTTAAAGCTGCTTGGAATGTAACGGATTACAAAATTAGTTACAAAACATGTTCTTCAAACCGACTGTCGTTTAACCTAGATAATAATAATGAATACCTTCCTTAATTGTTAAGCCACCACGAAGTTGGTAGAGATGTTTATTCGGCTGATATTTTGAAGTGTTCTTCTTCTTCAAAACCAATGATTAGAGTCGATGTCCACAGTTATTCTTCTCAATTAGTCCCTTCGTAGTCATATCGAGTGGAATCTTCTCTGATAGAATCTTATCGAGGTTAAATAACGACCGATTTGAAAAATATTGTTTTACTACTCGCTGTTTGCTAGGTAACATAGTACCGACGGCAGTAGAATGGGTTATCCATTAAAAAACAAATTATTATCACCATGCAGTCGTTGTCGGCAACCTCATTTCGTCGTGTTTTTTTAACGCACTCTCATTTTCGTTGTCGGTTATTGCTTGCTCCTCGAAAGTTTCTAAGTTAAAGATTTCTTCTGATGTTTATTCTTGGTGCTCTAGCCGCCCTCCTCTGTTTCGCTAACTTCTGCGGCAGTTTGAATAGACCAACTTCACATTGTGAAACACTCCAAGGTTGTGCACATTAGAAGCAACAGAAATGCACACGCCTTTTTTTCATATTTTCTCCTGTACAATTTAAAACAGGATCAGTCACAATGTCTGCTTAAAAAATAAACGAAAGAAAACCTTCAAAGTGTGCCGTCAAGTAGTTCCTTCATTGTGAAGCAAATAATTTCTTTGAAGTTACTGAAAGGCTTGATGACATTTCAGCGATTGCGTCTTCGTCATATCGTGGAAAAGTCAAATTGGCATATTAACGTGAGACATGGCGTCAGTTCAAGACTAATCAGAGAAGATACTCCTGCCAGCTATTTGCCCTTGTATTTCTGGAATTTGTCTAAAATGCCTCGAGCGTTTTGCACTCTTAATCTTTATATTCCCGTCGAGGAATCACACATTCATTTCGAAGTTTTCTCCGGTATATATCTTTGTCCTATACCTGCTCAGTAGAGTTCCCTTTGGCTTTAAGGGAAATTTAACGTGTACATATTATCCAGAACGTGTCGGGACGGCTATTATTTTTTAATATTCCATGACCCAACATCTCTTCACCTCTACGGTGAGGATCTCAGCACCTCTTCTATACGATTCATTTTCTCTCATGAGCAATCTACAAAGGTCTTCAGAACTTTTGCACGCGGCTTCGAGTGCTTCTTGGGCATTTTCTCTTCTTCTTCACGAGTGTTTTTAAGTGTGGATCGGAAGTCGTACGGGAATAGTTGTCAAAAATAAATCAAGCCAACGAGTGCAAAATCCTTCAACAGCAAGAGGTTTAAAAGACGTTAAACTCTGAAAATGTACCTAATAATCGTAAAAAGGCATGGTTACAGCGGATTTTCGCCACTTTATAGAAGCAAAACTGCATTCAAGAACTTCGACCACCAGTTCCTTACATGATTTTTTGATTTTTCATAGCAGATGTATTATAGTGCGAACATTCATTGCCTTCCAATTATATATGACTAAATCTAGATGAAAATGTATCGTCGCACTGAGACATTGCACAACCGGTCGAGATCTTCCTGATTCGGATCAGTCTGTAACGAAAGTGGCTACCGGCGGAGTCTAGCGGTTCAGATTGATGCAGAATATTAGCCACGCGGGTCTTTTAGTCGATGCATTAATCTATCAGCCTAAAATTGGGTAATTAAACCTTTAATAGATAAATACAACACTAATAACATATCGTAACGATAGAGAAGTAATGGTAGAGGAATGACACAAGTTAGAGCTCTGAGGTGCTAAGGCCTGTAGTGAAGTGAGGCTAACTATGAGGCCAATGACATTCAAACATTATTATACCATTAACACATTATTAACAACAATAATGAGATTAGGTTAGCGGTGAGCGATGCCGCGCCGCGTCAATCCGCGGCCGGTGTGGCGGCTGAGGGAGACAATATGCTGAAGTGGTGAGGGTTACAGAATAGCCGTGTTTCGGCCAAGCTAAGATTTCAACATTATAGCGATGAGGAGCACTTTAGTGGATCGATGAGGACTTTGAGTTACATGAGCGTTGACGGTTCTATGCACAGTGAATGATGAGTCATCTACGGAACACAGTCAGGCGGCTGGTCGTGAATAACGCTATGTCAGCAACGTGAACTTTGAGCATCGATGGGTGCCACCATTGCCTAAGGGTAAGGGCTAGTATGATAAATGGCTACAAAACATAAGCCTATAGCGGCTTATAGCAGAATACATAGCATAAGTTGGCCGCTTAGCGGCATTGTACGCATTGCGTACATTGTGGGAGGAATGGTACATGCCATCGATGGCGTTGCATACAGAACACATTTGGAAACATTCGCCACTACTGACATCGCACCGTAGACAAGCTGAGAAACGAGATACAATAATCTGCTGATTACTGAAGGATGAATGTGAATGTGTGAATGGATGTGATTGAATAAGAATGAATGAGTATGACTAAGAATGAGTTGAGGTGATTGAGGATGGTGTTGTGAGGAGCGGATTATCCGCGCTACCGATCGGGGGTAAGGTGAGTGACGGCATATCTTCGCCATGGAAGACACCTCGCTTATATCGGCTGCGGGAGCCCCGTGCGTATTCAACCGCGGTTAATCTGGATTGTTGATCTTGGACCGCATTAGACTGTACCTAACTGCGTGAAACATCAAACGCCATTAGCTTCGCTGTTTCGCAAGGAAGTAGTAAACTGCTCCACTCCTTCGGATAAGCCATTGTCGGCATGCTACAAAAGTCAAACCCGATTCGCCATTGTGCCTGAAACACTGGACATAATTGATCGAGAAGATTACAAAAGGTTACATTTCGGTGCTCGATGTACGACTACGAGGCGGCCATATTTGGACAACAAATGCTATTGTTTTGATAGATAGAGAACTTTTCAAGAGAGAAGTTCTCTATCCAGTCATGCCCTTATTCATCCGAGGTTTGCTGAATAAGTAGAAGATGAGTCAGCGTGGGAAGGAAAGCACTGATTTGTCTCACTATTCAAGGTTACGTTCATTATTCAACGCAGTAAAAAAGAATTCTGACTGATGTAAAGCAAAGATATGACGGCGAGATCTTCACGAAACTGTTGAACTTTGGTTCATTGATCTTCATCTTTTTTAAATTTTTAATAAGGGATAAAAGTACAAAGGTATCAGCATTGATTAATCCCTGAGGAATGCGCCATGAATTCGACTTCATTAAACATCGTTGAAGGTGATTGAATGCATATCTGGCCTTTACAATGACTCACAGTGGCCTACCGATGAACCAAATCTGTGTTGTTATCCTCCCAGACATTTCTGGCACCGGTTTGCCATCCCCGGACGGATTGAAGGCTTGGTGAGCCTAAGGCGCGGGTTAGATCCAATGTGTATTGCAGGGCACCTCTAACCTCTGCGCTATATGCGGTCCTGCCCTTCACTTACTACTTGCTGTTTAATAGCAAGC